GAGAATTGATGCCTTTGAGCTGTGGTGTTGGGTAAGAGTATTGAATATACCACGGACTGCTAAGAAAACGAACACGTTCATCCTGGAGAGGGTTAAGCCAGGCTGCTCCTTGGAGGCAAAGATTCTGAAGCTTCATCTGACATAGTTTGGACATATTGCAAGGAGGGACCAGTCCTTGGAGAAAGACCTCATGCTTGGGAGGGTGGAGAGACAACGCAAGAGAGGAAGACCTTCGATGAGGTGGATTGATTACCCATTAGGGGGTAAGTGTGTCTGAGACAGTGTGATTGGCACAGGATAGAGCAGGGTTCAAGGCTGTTGTACATAGGGTCGCTATGAGTCGCAGGCGACTCAATGGCACATAGCAACAACAACATCATGATGTTGCCTATTTGTATTTTTATTAAGCAGTTAGTAAATGTAGGGAGGTCTCATAGCCTAGTTTTAAGAAGTTTCACTGCAATTTCTGAGGCATATAGTTCAAATCTACCAGCTCTTCAGTGGGAGGAGGGGCAGTCTCCTAAATACACTGCCTCTGAAAACCTACGAGAGGACAGCTACAGGTGGATTCAAACTCGACAGCACACAACAACAGTAATTTCCAAACTAGGTTTCAAAACTTGTTCTGCATGGCTTCTTTGTTACATTCTATGAGGACAAATAGAGTAATGAATTTTATACAACAGAATGCATGAGAATGTATGAAACACAATGTGAATGAAGAATAGTGTGAAACACCATGTATGTGGACTTTGTAAGCAAACCAATATAAAATAAATTTAAAAATTGCCCCAAAAAAGTCAATCTGTGGAAGCATAGTTGAGAAGGTTGTACTAAAGTAACACATTAAAAGCTTTAACTGTCTTCAGAGCTGAAGTTTGGGATCATGGGCCAAAGTAATAGAATTTAATTCTCTTGAAACTAACATTAACTCTTCTAAGAAGGTTTCAAAAGCATTGAGTTGAACACACAAAGGGTGAATTGCTATTTATCAACAGAATATAATTTATGTTGATTTAAATTGTTAGTCAATAGTATGGAAAAAAAGTAATAAATTTTTTGTTAATGCCTATGATCTTTAAC